TAGGTTCTGGATGAATGGCAAGTCTATCTAGATTGGGGTTTGTTTTCCAATTTCAAAAAGAACTTTAAAATAAATATGTAAATACAAATGGCAGAAGCAATGTATTTTATCTTATTACAAATGTGTGCAGCACTTAACAGATTTCCTACATAGAAGCTCACAGTGGGGCATAAGTGCGTGGGCTTGGAAGCCGTCGGGATGCCGGTGCAAACACTCAACCGCATATAAACTGATCTGTCTGGATCCCCACACTCTTCTCTGAGACACAGCTGCGCTAACATCTGCAAACAAAGCTGCCGGCAAGAACTGGATAACATGAGGAAAGACCCGCACACAGCTCCTCGCTCTTGGGGGACACTCAGCAGCAGCTTTGGTTATTATTTTACACAGCATCATTTGTTCCCAAGCAACCTTGTAAAATACACAGGACAAATGCTATGAATGACCATTCCGTATCTGAGAGACTCAGGGAGAACAAGACGTCTCCACCCTGATAGACACCTGTGTTATGAAGCACTAAGTGCGGGAGCTGCCGTAGACATCATCATGCTCCAGGATCCTAATATAAGGTCTCTCACCAGCACCCTAGGTACGTGGCAGCAGCCAGAGTCTGCCACCTGGGTGAGCTGATTTCCATGAGTTTCTCCTCCTGATTGCAAAGACCATCGCAGCCTGGGTGTCAGTGGCACCAGACATGCTTCTATGACATTTTTCCACCAGGTAACAACAGTCAATAGTGAACTGGCCATTCCCAAAACCTGCTTACTCCTGGTGTCAGATGTCATCCTGCAATGACCAGCTTTGCATTGTATCAAGAAAAACGTGCTTAAGTCATAGATGAAAGGTCTGATCATTTGATGAGGCTGTAATGGGGAGGTAGAATAGAGAGCCTTAAACCTGTTTGTCAAAACAGCCCGCTTCAAAGTAGCAGTAATGACTGTGGAGCTAAAAATGTATTTATCGTAAGATACATGTTTTAAGTTAAATTTATAGAGAGTGTGACAGAACATTACCAAGTACCCATCAGAAATTAGAAATCAGGGGGTCTGAGGCAGGGGTCAGCAGGCCTTGTTTCCAGAGCCTGGGTCATGACCCTTCTGATCAAAACAGGATGTAGCACAGGAACTGGCCCAAACCAGCTAGGGCCAAGATGGTGCTGAAGCATTTGAATCAGAGTCTCTGGTTGCTCTCGTTACTCATTATGTACTGATTATAATTCATCTGCATAAGACACTCCCACTGGCACCATGACAGTTTACAAATGCGTGGAAACAACCCAGAGGTGACCTTATATGGTTCCGGAACTCCCACCCGTTTTCCAGAAAGCTCATGAATAGCCTGCCCCTTATTTAGCATATAATTAAGAGTGGGTGTAACTATGCTCGCCAGCGACCAATGCGTGCTGCTCTGGGCCACTCTGCCTGTGCAGTGGCCCTGCTGTCGGTGCAGCTACCGTTTTGCTGCACACTTTGCTCTGTCACCACCACCTTACCCTCGAATTCTTTCCTGAGCAAAGCCAAGAACCCTGCTGGGCTAAGCCCCAGTTTGGGGATTTCCTGCATCAGGTCTGGACCTAGCCTGTAAAATTCTGACCAGCTGATCATAGTTAATAAAGAAAGTAGGTCATGCGTGGTGGCTCACGCCTGTAATCCCAGCACTTTGGGAGGCCGAGGTGGACGGATCACAAGGTCAAGAGATCAAGACCATCCTGGCTAACACAGTGAAACCCCGTCTCTACTAAAAATACAAAAAATTAGCCGCGAGGTGGCGGGCGCCTGTAGTCCCAGCTACTCGGGAGGCTGAGGCAGGAGAATGGCGTGAACCTGGAAGGCAGAGCTTGCAGTGAGCTGAGACTGCGCCACTGCACTCTAGTCTGGGCAACAGAGCAAGACTCCGTCTCAAAAAAAAAGAAAAAGAAAGTAGCAATCCCCTAAGTGTGAGCTGTGCTGTCACCAATTTTACTCCCCGATTTTCACAGCTCCAGCATTCTCTCATTACCAGATCCAACGTTAGACAGGGGAAATGCTGTTGGTGTTTGTGGCACAGACTTCTAATATTGCACCACACTTGTTCCCATGTTTTCCTTGTGTGTATGTTTTTATATCATAAAATAAACCATGCTTAGGAGAGTACTATCAATCTTTCCTTCAAAACAGCAGTGCCCTCATATACTGCTAAATGGAATCATGTATTAAATAAATACGACCTCCAACTTTACCTGTGCTTCACACAAGAACTTCATTTGCCAACCGATGGTATTCAATTTAAAGTGAAGCTCTCCTTTCTTATTAAATTATGCAGGATAGGCTTCAAAGGTTACTGTCTTACTGAGACTTGGATTTTTCTTGCATACACGCTCTTTGGATTGTTGCGAGCCTCTGGTTAATTTCAGAGTTCTAAGAAAGCTGGTTTTGACAATTTCTGTGACTGTTTTCATTGCCTTTGTGAAGCAGAAGATTTTTGATGTCCTGTTCCAGCATCCCTAGTGCTTCTTTATCATGTTTACTTTTAACAAAACCTTTTCCTGCCTGTGGTTATTTCCAAATCTTAATTTTACTTAATTTTATGTGGTTAACTGTCTCTTCAATAATTACCAATATTGTCCAATCCTGAGAAAATTTAAGTGATCAGAAAACATATTTTAAAAGTTACTGTAGTCATGGTAAGTAATTATTGTAATACAATGTATGAAAATAAAAATGACTTCCAGTTGTTTGATTTACAATGCTGGGAAACAGAGGAATGGTAGTGAGGTGATATATATGGAAGAAAGTAGACTAATATCAGTAAAGAAAGGAAATTTTTAAAAATAAGGAAACAACTTAGTGAATTATATATTATAATTCAGTATATGATATCATTACGCTTAATGAATCAGTATGATGTATACCTATGCATAACTGGCTTCTTGTGCCTGTTATTTAGTGGCCCTTCATCACGAAGGTTCATGACAACTACAACTTGTTGCTTTTTCCTCTTTATTTTTTATAACTATATTTACACCATATTTGGTTTTTTTTTTTTTTTTTTTTTTTTTGAGACAGAGTCTTGCTCTGTTGCCCAGGCTGGAGTGCAGTGCAGTGGCACGATCTTGGCTCACTGCAAGCTCCGCCTCCCGGGTTCACACCATTCTCCTGCCTCAGCCTCCCGAGTAGCTGGGACTACAGGCACCCACCACCACGCTCGGCTAAGTTTTTCTATTTTTTAGTAGAGATGTGGTTTCACCGTGTTAGCCAGGATGGTCTTGATCTCCTGACCTCATAATCTGCCTGCCTCGGCCTCCCAAAGTGCTGGGATTACAGGCATGAGCCACTGCGCCCAGCCCCTATTTGTTTCTTTTATTCATTAATCTCAAGGGCAATAGAGACCTACCCAACCTTTTTTTCACTGAAAATTTTCAAGTATTCAAAAAAATTCAGTGAGGCTGAAAGACATTTTGATGCCAAATACTCAAGTGTCAAGACAGCTAACATCTGACTCCCCCATAAATCACTCCCCCTCTCCCCGCTGCCACCCTGCTGGGTCGAGCTTTGGCACTTTTCATCTTTCTTTCTTTCCTGACCACCCCTCCATCTCGCTGCCCAAATGCCGTTCAAAGGATTATAAAAGAACACGACAACTCAAAGCAATATGTTTTAAAAGTGCAGAACAGGTGATGGCACAAATATTATCAAGAAAAGCAGGTCCTTTACAGTGCACATGGCACAGTCTCATGGGAAGAATGAAGCATCATGAAGATGTACGGCTCAGTATTGTTTGTAATAGGGAACAAAAGCATAAATTCAAATTCCCATCTGGAGCAGACTGAAAAGATAAATTAGGGCCAAAGATGGAATTCAGCGGTGATGCTAATGGAAGCTCTGGTCCATGACAGCACAAGATGCACTTACTCATTTTCAATATTCAGTATTATTCAATATACAGCAGCAGTAGCGCGAGTGCCAGGCACAGCAACATGCCCTGAACCACAGCGATACGTTGTTTAGTGGAGAAGAGCAGGGTCACAAGACACGTGTGGAGTGCCGTTCCGCCTGATCACACGCACTAGGCCAGAGTACACAGTCACACAATGACGCTATTCTCTGAATCAAAGCCTCAATCTTAAAGAGACAAAATGAAATTATTCCCAAACACTGGAGTTTAATACGTGATATTTATTTTATTTTATTTTTTTGAGACAGAGTCTCGTTTTGTTGCCCAGGCTGGTGTGCAGTGCCGTGATCTTAACTCACTGCAACCTCCGCCTCCCGGGTTCAAGCAGTTCTCCTGCCTCAGCCTCCTGAGTAGCTGGGATTATAGGCGCCCACCACCATGGCCGGCTCATTTTTGTATTTTTTAGTAGAGACGGGGTTTCGCCATGTTGGCCAGGCTGGTCTTGAACTCCTGACCTTAGGTGATCCACTGGCCGCCTTGGCCTCCTAAAGTGCTGGGATTACAGTTGTAAGCCACTGCGCCTGGCCAATACCTAATATTTTTAATCCTTTGCAAAAAATCTCCCTCTACATTTTAATAGAAGACCATTCATTTTTATATACAATTGATTTGCAATGGTTATTTTCATGTTTTATTCTAATTTAAAAAGTTTCTGGAAATGCTGTGGACTTTTTTCCGTAAGAACTTTCAAAATCCTGTTCTTTACTTGCTCTGCTGCTTGCTTTCTTGCTGGCACTGGTGTTCATGTTAGTGCCCCACGTAACCGTATTTGTCCACGGGTCTTCCCATACATTCCCGTTTCATTCAATTAAACATGCACGAGTGCTGAGTGGCAAACACCTTCATTATAAAAGAAACTTTTCCAGATGCATTTCCCCACAATAAAGGTTTATTTCTCTCTCTCTCCAATAAAAGTGTATTTCCTAAGTTCTCCCTGAACTCAGTGAACACTGGCATGTAACCTTAATTATTATAAGATTTCACCAAAATAAAGTCATAAAGATACAAAAATATAACGTAAGACCTGTATGCAGCAGAGGTGCCCCACCCACTCAGCAAGACAGTACCTGGGGCGTGGATGGGTTAAAGGCCACTCCAGTGACGGTGTCTGTGTGCCCAGCCAGCCGGTGAGAAAACGTGCTCGAGCCCATTTCATACACGTAAGCCTACAAGACAAGATGAGCAGGTGAGCCATGTTAACTCAGAGTGAGGAATCAGCTATATGCTATGCAGAGCAGAGGGACTGTCTATAGATTAGTGCAGTTGATCAAATACAACAGCAACAACCGAGATGCCTGACAAAACATCATCCAAGCTGGGGAACTAACTTTATAAAACAGGCATCTTTTCCCCTTCTCTCTTGTAGATTTTTTACATCTTAGTGAACTTATGTCATACCTTCTATTTACTATCAAAAGCCTCCATAGTACCCTGTGAACAGTTTTAAATATATGCTCATGTTTGATGACTAATTTTAAGGAAGGAGTATAGATTCTGTAATGCAACCTTACCTTGAAGTTCCAAACTGAATGAAAAAAAAAAAAGATACTCTATTGTATCCTCCCCTATAAACTTGAAATAGGTACATATGCTATACTGTGTTTCCTACTCATCAGCTTAGAATTTGAGCAATTCAAATACTCAGATTTTTTTATAGCTGTTGATAAATAAGTTCCTCTCCAACTGTGTGTGACACAATTCTGGATTTATGTATCCAGAACTGCCATCAATAGTTTATTTTAGAGACAAAATCTGTTATCAGATACCATTCTGATGGAATTGAGAGAGGAGATAATCATTAAGTAACAAGGTGTATCAACAAATATTTTCTGAAAGCCTACTAGTAATAAACAGCAACGTCACATTGCAGCAGAAGGAAGGTGTCAAAGGTGATTCCTTTTCCCGCAAAACCCTACTGTTTTTTTAAAAATTAAGCATATTGTGTATATTTGAAGTTCGCAACATGATTTTATGGGATCCATACCTACAGATAAGAACATAATAGTACTGGTAACTGTAGAGAGGCAGACTCTCGTATCTATCATCTCACATCGCTACTTGTATTTGTAACAAGAACAGCTAAAATCTATGTAGTTCAGGAAAATCCCTAATACTCCATGCTTTTATTAACTTGAGCACTCGTGTTGCACATTAGATACCTGGACTTCATCCTAGCAGCTGCTGTTTCGTATCCTTTGACCCACATCTCCCCATTTCCTCCCCGTCCCTGCCTATGTCTACCCTGTTAGCCACACTTCCATCATCTATCTTGGCGTCTTTGAGCTCTTGTTAATATACAGATTTCACACAGAAGTGAGATCCTGCATTCTTTTTCTTTTTGTGTCTGGTTTATTTCACTTAGCATAATGTCCTCCATGTCCATCCACACTGTGGCAAATGGCAGGCTATACCATTGTGTGTATGTGTGTACAGACATATGCACACACTCCTGTATCATATTTTTTGTTAATTTGTGTTCATTGATGAGCTTTTAGGTAGTTTCTATAGCTTGGCTGTTGTGACTAATGCTCAATGAACATGGGAGGGCAGATGACTTTACATGGTGTTGACTGCCTCTCCTTTGAGCATATACCAGAAGGAGGACTGCTGGGTCATATTGTAGTTCTATTGTTACTGTTTTCTATACTGTTTTCCAGATGGCTGCACCAACCTACATTCCCACCAACAGTGCACAAGGTTCCCTTTTTTCACACCCTCACCAACATTTGCTATCTCTTGTCTTTTTGATAATAGCCATCCTTACAGGTATGAGGTGCTAGCTCAGTGGTTTTAATTTGCATTTCTCTTATGATTAGCAATGTGGAGCACCTTTTCATATAGATTTTTGGCCATTTTTATGTTGTCTTTGGAGAAATGTCTATCCAGGTCCTTTACTCATTTTTCAATCAGGTCATTTGTTTTTCTGCTATTGAGTTGCAAGAGTTCTTTATAAATTTTGGATATTAAACCCTTATCAGATATGTGGTTTGCAAATGTTTCCCAGTCCATAGGTTGCTTTTTCATTTAAGAAAAATAAAGTTGGAGGCATCACACTTGATTTAAGACTATATTACAAAGCTACAGTAACTAAAACAATATGGTACTGCCAGAAAAACAAAACCACAGACCAATTAGAGTATAGAGCTCAGAAATAAATCTAAATGTATATGGACAACTAATTTTCAATAAGGCCATCAAGAGGACACAATGAGGAAAGGATAATCTCTTTAATAAATGGTAACCTCTTTAATAAATGGTGTTAGGAAAACAGATTTCTGCACACAAAAGAATGAAATTGGACCTTTATTTTACCATACACAAAAATCAACTCAAAATGGATGAAAGACCTAAAATCATAAAACTGCTAGAAGAGAACATAGTGGAAAAGCACCTCAATATTGACCTTGGCAATAATATTTTGAACGTCAGAAAAAAAGCTCAGGCTACAAAACAAAAGTAAATAAATGGGACTGCATCAAACTAAAGAGCTTCTGCTCAGCAAATAAAATAATCACTGAAAAAGAACTATTTTAATGTAAGAATGAGTCCTTCAGATTTAGGCCTTACCAATGATTCTGTCAATGACTAAGCAGGTTTTGAAGTAAAGTCTACAAATAAATGTCTGATATACAGTTGACCCTTGAGCAACATGGTGGCTAGGGGTGCTGGCCCTCCACACAATCAAAAATCCACATGAAGCTTTTGACTCTCCAAAAGCTTTACTGATAACCTACTGTTGACCAGAAGTCTTACCAATAACATAAACAATCAATTACCATATATTTTATATGCTATATGTATTAATACTTTATTCTTACAATACAGTAAGCGAAAGAAAAGAAAATGATATTTTTAAAAGTATAAGGAAGAAAAAATATACTCATTATTCACTGAGTGGCATCATAGAGGTCTTCATCCTCATTGTCTTCATGTTGAGTGGGAAGGAGAAGTAGCAGGGGTTGGTTTTGCTGTCTCAGCATGGCTGAAGCAGAAGAGGTGGAGGAGGTGGAAGGGGAGGCAGCAGAGGCAGGCTCACTTGGTGTAACTTTACAGAAATATGTCGTAATTTCTGCCTGACATTTTTGCTTTCTCACATTTTCTATGTGGTACCAATCCTACTACCATTTGCTTTCATTTCACTGCCTGTATCATAGAAGGATCCATGTCGTGAAAGACATCAAAAGCACTGAGTCATCAGAACCCTTCTTCCAGATTATGTCTAACGTCAATTTGTTTCTTGGCACTGCTTCTTCCGAGTCAGTCTTCTTACTCATTGTCCAGCATTGGTTTGAAGCACTCATCTCCATCAAGTGGTCTTCTCTTAATTCCTCTGGTGTGGTATCTGTTAGCTCTTGAATTTCTCCAAGATCCATAGCTTGAAACCTTTTTTGCCATATCCACGATCTCTTTCATGATTTCCTTGATTGGCCCTGTCATAAATCCTGTGAGGTCATGCACAACTCTGGACAGTTCTCTCCAGTGGGAATTGTTTCAGGGTTGATGGCCTGCATGGCTTTTCCTATAACAGTAATGGCCTCTTCAATTGTGTAATCTTTCCAGATTTTCATGATGTTCTCTCCATCAAAGTTCTCTTCCACAGCATTCACAACCCTTTCCATAGGGTTCCATGTGTAATGACCCTCTGATCTGGAGTCCGGATTAGAGAAGTTGTTTGGGGGCAAGACCACTTTGATGCCTTTGGTGTTAAACTCATTGGGTTCTGGGTGGCCAGGGGCATTGTCCAATATCAAAAGAACTTTAAAAGGCAGTCGTGGCCAAGCGTGGTGGCTCACGCCTGCAATCCCAGCACTTTGGGAGACCAAAGTGGGCGGATCATGAGGTCAGGAGATCAAGGCCATCCTTGCCAACATGGTGAAACCCCATCTCTGCTAAAAATACAAAAGTCAGCTGGGCGTGGTGGCACATGCCTATAATCACAGCTACTCGGGAGGCTGAGGCGGGAGAATTGCTTGACCCAGGAGGCAGTGGTTGCAGTGAGCCAAGACTGCACCATTACACTCCAGCCTGGCAACACAGCTAGACTCTGTTTCAGGAAAAAAAAAAAAAAAAAAAAAAAAAGGGCAGTTGCTTCCTGACTTCAGGGACAAAGTAACAATGGAACCAATGCGGGAAAAGGTTCTCACTGTCCTGCTTTCTTGGTGAACAATGAAAAGATTGGCAGGTGGTGTTTTTTTTCCCTTCAAGGCTCAGTTTTATGGATAAGGGTAGTCTCAATCACAAGCTCAGCTGCATTTGCAGAAACCAGTAGAGTTGACCTATCCCTTCCTGCCTTAAGTCTGGTGTTTCTTCTCTTCCTTACCAATAAATGTCCTTTGTAGCATGTTTTTCCCTAAGAATAGGCCACTTATATCTGCACTAAAAACCTGTTCAGGCAGACATCCTTTCTCCTCAAGGATTTTCTTTTCTTTTCTTTTTGTTTTTTTTTAAGACGGCGTCTTGCTCTGTTGCCCAGGCTGGACTGCAGTGGCACAATCTCAGCTCACTACAACCTCCACCTCCTGGGCTCAAGCGATTCTCCCGCCTCAGTCTCTCAAGTAGTTGGGATTACAGGTGCCCAGCACCACACCCGGCTAATTTTTGTATTTTTAGTAGAGACAGGGTTTCACCATCTTAGCCAGGCTGGTCTTGAACTCCTGACCTCAGATGACCCGCCCACCTTGGCCTCCCAAAGTGCTGGGATTACAGGCGTGAGCCACTGTGCCCGGCCCTCAATGATTTCCTTAATGGCGTCTGGGAACTCAGCTGCTGCCTCTTGATCAGAAGCTGCTTCTCCTGTTATCTTGATCTTTTTTTTTTTTTTTTGAGACAGAGTTTTGCTCTTGTTGTCCAGGCTGGAGTGCGATGGCGCGATCTCAGCTCACCACAACCTCCAACTCCCAGGTTCAAGCGATTCTCCTGCCTCAGTCTTCCCAAGTAGCTGGGATTAGAGGCATGAACCACCAAACCCGGCTAATTTGGTATTTTTAGTAGAGATGGGGTTTCTCCATGTGGGTCAGGCTGGTCTCAAACTCCCAACATCAGGTGATCCGCCCACCTCGGCCTCCCAAAGTGCTGCGATTACAGGCGTGAGCCACCATGTCCAGACCTATCTTGAACTTTTTAAGCCAAACCTCTTTCTAAAATTATCAAGTCATCCTTCACCTTC